CCCTCTTTTTGCCCGGGGTCCCTCAGACCCTGGGCATGGCCCTCTCGCAGACGGCGGTCAAGTCTTCCCTGAACTTGACCGCCCTCTGCTCCACGTCGACCTTGGCCGGTGGGGGGGCCACCATGCCTGGACCATAGCTGCTTCCTCTGCGAGCTCAAGGTCCAGGCGGGTGAGTGCCCATTTGGGAAAGCCCCCCCCTGGGGGTCGTGTTGGAGGCCGTCGTGGGCGGCATATGGGAGACCCTCATCCGTATGTATTTGTGGTCGGAGAGGGTCTCCTCGTCCTCCAGGACCTGCCAGCCGGATACTCGCGCGGCTAGTGAGGGGGTCTCGAACGTGACGTCCACGATCGACCCCCCATTTCGCCGCACGCACGTGCTGGCATGACCCCGGTTGAGAACGACCAGCCCTAAGGCTGCCGCCCAATCCTCCAACTCTGGCCCCCTGGCATTGGTGACCGGGGAACCCCACGCAGCGCTCTTGGCGTTGAGGTCCCCATCACCAACACCGGCGCCGGAGCTGCCCTCCTCACCGCCCTCTCTAGGGTCTCCAGGAACGCCTGGAATTGGGCCAGGGAGCGATTAGGAGAGAAGTACACCCCAATTAGGATGACTTCTCCCCACCTCGCCGCCACGAACCCTGACCCGCGTTCCTTCACCGCTAGAGGGGGGAGTTCCCGGCAGTCGATGCCACTATGGCCACCGTCTCCTCCCGATCCCCCGCCCAGTTCCACCGCGGGGGGTCAGAGTATGGCTCCGCCACAGCAGCCACCGCAACCCCTCACTCCGCCATGGCCTGGACCAATAAGTCCTGTGCCCTGGCGCAGTGGTTGAGGTTGCCCTGCAGTATAGTATGGTGGCGTGCTGGCATCACTGCTACATACATTGTCCCTCAATAGGGAGGGGGTCTGAGGTCCCCGCCGGCTTGCCCTTGATGGGGGGGGGGGGAGCGCAAGATCGCCCCCCATTACGTGGTCCGCTGGACGGCGGGTCGCGGTGCAGACCGAACACTGCGGGGTCGCCGAGCACCCGGAGGACGGGTGTCCCACCTGGCCACACCTGAAGCCTCTGCTTCCCCGCTCCTGTCCACACTGGTCGGGCAGAGGGCTCTGGTGTGGCCAATCTGGGAGGGGCTCCATCACATGGACCCCGGCGGAGGACCACCCCACCAATAGGCGGCCGGCAGCCGCCACCCGTTGGGCCGCCGTCACTGGGCAGCGGACGAGGGCTGACCCCCTCCCGTTGGGGGCTAGCCTGACGGCTCCCACGCTCACGGCGGACTGGAGGCATTGGCCCTGGGCAGCCACCACCGTCCGGATCTTCTCCGGGGTCACCGACTCGTCAAAGCCGGTGACCCTTACAGCGTCGGTTTTGGTAGGCCGCGTTACTGCCGCCAACCCCCCTATCACCTCCTCTAGCTGCCGCCAGGGTGTCGGCATTCTCTGCGCTGGTCGCCCCGGGCACCTCAACTATGCGTGCACCCGTCTGGGTGTTCCGCACCCGCACGTGCGGGATGCCGAGGCTGCATAAATCGACCGCAGCGGTCGCCGCCTCTAGGACCCCTTTGTAAGTGACCCCCTTTTCCGCCACCGCTTCGGGCCTCAGCGTGATCACCACCGTCGATGATTTCGGGGTGGCGAGAGCCCTGGGTCTGGGAGCCATCTTGGGGGCCCGTGCCGCTTGGATGGCGGCAGCTGCCGTTTTGGCCATCCTGGCCTTGCGGCCGACTACCTGTGACCAGGGCGTTTCCGCCTGGTCAGTCGGCATGGAGGCCGCCGCGTCAGGGGCGGCAGGGACGGCGGGAACAGCAGGGGGCGCCGCAGGAGGGGCAGCAGTAGCCTTCGGCGGGGGAGCCTCCCTCTTGGCCTTCTTGTTGAACCGCGGGTCAGCAGGCGCGTTTCGGGCCGGGGAGAGGCCCGGTGTCGATTCGGGGGCCGCGGCGGAGTGAAGCAACCTCGGGGCGGCTGTGGCGACGGCGGTGGCCGTTTGCCTTGTGGGTTGATAAACAATCAACCCAAAATTAAAAAAATTAAAAATTTATTTATTTCTCAATTTGGTTTAACAATGGTAGATCAGGTCCTCCCTTTAAGCAAATGTATGCTTGTGTTGGCCCAAAAGGCAAACTCGATTGCACATTCTATATTTTTTATTTTTATATTTGTTATTTAATTGTGTTATTTCAATAACCGACGATTTTTTATGACGCTGTACTTCTTTGACATTTCTAAATGCACTACGTCTATATCTACATCAAGTGGTATCATGCATGTCGCATGTCATTATTTCACCTGCTAAGAGATGTTAAGATGTTTGTGTGAAGCGAATATAACTGTCGACATCGATACCTTTGCAGCGTTTCCATTTCCATTTCCTAACTCATTTTCCGTGTCATGTTGGAATGGAGTTTAAAAATGTGAAACGTTCACTGTATGACTTTTACTCTATTTAGCTCTATTTGCACCACGTTTCTTTCAGTAACAAACGAAAATTCTTCGCTTGTGGACAAAATTGTATGGGAATTTGAGTATTTCACTGAGCGGGAACGCCAACTTTAGCAGCCCGCAGCCCCTAAGGTACACCACCGCCGAGCCGGATCGGCCCTCTCTCGATCACGCTCGAGTAGAAGGATCTGAAGCATCACTGCTTCACAGAAGAAGAGCACTGCTTCATGGGATTCTTGATCCGCCAACATAGCCGATACTATGCCTGGCGGAGAGAGATTTCGCCCGATCCGGGCAACCAGGATGTTCCTCTCGGAGATCCACGCGGGGCATTCCTGCAGCTTGTGCTGGGCGAATGCTGGTCCCTCCCACAGTGGTGGCACTGCGTCGTTGACTAGCATCCGATCCGATTCTGATACTCACCGAAGCATCCGTGCTCGGTGAGTATCAGTGGCGGTCGGAACGTGGTGACGCACTTCCGCTGGCTCAACTAGACTTTGAGGTTGGGCAGAATCGCATTGACAGCACACTGGCGCGAGTTCCACGGCTGTTCCAGTCTCCGCGCCACTTCACCAACGCCTGTCGGCGCTCCTGCCACCGCACCTAGGTTATTTGCCCTAGATTATTAAAACAGACGCAGGCTCAAGTCCTGTCAGATCAAAGGAAGTATTCGTTGTGTTCTATATTTCTATTAATAATTATTACATACAAGTGAAGCCATTTCACAACAATAAATTAATATCATGGTAAAGTAAAGCATCGTAATTACAATCAATATTACAATTTATACTGCGTCCCTCTTTTCAACCTCTGGTAACTGTGAAGATAAGGCTAGCACGACAGGGCGTGAATAACGCGAGAGTGACACAAAGCGCTAGATATTGTTATTCTCGCATAGAAATCTAGCGCTGTATGTCGCTCTCGCGCAAGTTGCGCTTGTTCGTGCTAGTTCTACTAGGTGAGTGAAGAAAAAACTTTCATAGACTTCTCACAGGTAGCGCTACGGTAAAAAAGCCGTTAAAACAAAAAATAAAGAACTGTAAAGTGCCTTGCATGTACGTAACTGACACAGAAAAATTTGTAAGGAAAAACGAATTCTTCTCTGTGTTCGATCTTTATATTTTTTTTTATAATATAAATGGCTTTGGCTTCGCATTTACCCAATCAAAAGATTAGGGAAATAGAGTTACAGATTATGGAAAAGGTACGGAATTTGGATGAAAAAGGATGTGGTAGGTAGATAAAAAGGTAATAGGGTATATATATACCTACATACACATTAAAGTTTGATATTATTATTGTTCAAGAAATAAGGCCAATGCATTATATACATATTATCGTCATTATATAACTACAATATACTTATTATGAAAGTGGGGAATGCGACATGAATTGCCAGCAGTTTGGATATGAAAGTATCGTGATCAATTAAAAGACAATATAAAAAGCTCCACACGAGCATACAATTTTAAATTTCAACAAAAAAGTGAAATAATTTCACAAAAATAAACGAATATCATGGTATATTCATTACAATCAATAACTCTAGTTATTCAAAACGTTATAAAGGAGATACATTATTAATAACACAATTTTGTCTTCAGCTAATCTCATTTTCAAGAAAAGTTTGTTCACGAACCGACAAACTTTGAATGTTGTGCGTTTTAACATCTTATATCGAGCAAATCCTCTCGTAGGTACCTATTAACTTCGACGGCAAAAGTTACAGCAAACACACATTGAAATACTTATGCAGTGTTTGCTTTACCGGCGTGGTAAATAAAATCAGAACGGGACGCTGTATTTGCAGCTTTTATACACGAGAGTTTTTTTATTACTTGTCATTTTAGAATTTCTTGTCTAAAAAAACGTGTGAAGTTACTAAGCCGCATTGCGCCAGTGTATTGGTCAATAGACTAAAAGCTGCCCTTAGAGGAACCCTGTGCTCAGCAGTGGGGGGATCGTCAAGGAGGAATTCATACAAAACGTTTAGTCGTACATATGTACATTTATAAATTTAAATTCTAGTAGCAATAGACCTCCTTGTGAAAGAATTGGTCCATGGTAGTACTGCCACCTTACCTATTTCTACCGCCAAGCAGTAATGTCAGCATTACTGTGTTCCGGTTTTGAAGGGTGCTTAGGTTATGTCTCTGGGTGACAGGCACAGTGGCAGTGTCCCTCAAATCTTTGCGATTTAAGGCTCTGAATCGCACTGCAACTGTTATGGACAGGCACGTAACTTAGATTGAAATATGATAAAAATGTTTTGAATTACTAGCTACATATACCAGAACGTGTAATCGAAATGAAAGGACGATAGGTGCTATTCTTTTTTCAAATGAAATTTCTGGTATACGTGGCATATATAAATAATAATTATGATACCAATGTTCATGTGAACCACTGGCCATGTATCTATACCAGAAAGTTGAATTTAAAAAAAGAATGACTTCACTCATCTTTTCATTTCGATTACATGTTCTGGTCCAATCATTTATTAGCGTTTCTCTAAATATATCCTTGAGTAGCATGTAACTAATTAAACTTCTCTATTACAGGTCTCGACAAATGTTTAGAGATGTTAAACCTGTCACCATCGAGTTATAAAAATCTAGAAGATGGTGAACGGACGGTGAACACCAAGAAGGTCTTACCAAGGAGGCCGTGGTATGCTCCTTTAGACCCTTCTGAAATATTAAGGCAGCAGGAGTATCAAGCGGGTGAGTTATTTTTTAATGTTAAAGTTTTTATTTTTTCGTTTATCCTACCAAAAGCAGAACTGCTGCGTTCCGATTTGAACCTTAGTTACAAAAAATTAAAGATCTTGTGTTCCACAGACGTCATTACATTTGCCATGTTAAAACTACCTTCTTAATATCGCAAAAGTACTGAATACTGATTCGGCAGTGAAGACTTTCCATTACGCAAATGGAAAAAAATACACTTGAATGTTAACTCCGTTGAAAATGTTGTGCTATTGAAGAAGGAATTGATTTTCCGATATTCTCATGTGAAATTAAGCTAAAAACTTATGAGCAGAGAGAAAGAGAGAGAACACTATTTTAATGTTTTACTTTACCATCTAGTACATAATAGTTCCGTTCAGGAAATGCACAGGTCTATTATTACACTTATCTGAAATACTTTTCGTAGCAGTCGAGGACCTTTTGAAAGAATTCGTCCAGGGAAGTAGTGCCACCTTGCCTATTTCTGCCGCAAAGCAGTAATGTCAGCATTACTGTGTTTCGGTTTTGAAGGGTAACTGTGCTGGTGAAATTGCAGGCACATGGGAGTTGTCAACTTATGTATCAGGGTGACGGGCGCCGTAGCAGTGCCCCTCAGATCTCTGTGATTTAAAGCTCTGAGCGGCAGTGCAACTGGTATGGATAGGCGACTTGTTCGTCCCGTCACTTGATATCATAAGAAAAAATAAGACGCTGTCTGCATTGACTCCTAAAATGTTGTTTAGTTGTGCAGTGTAAAGGGTTTACTATGGCACGGAAGAAGATAGATTTCTGGCGCACGCGGCTCAACCTCTTAAAACACAGAGTTAAAAGCATTTTTGATGTTAACCTTGAGCAGTTTTTAGGGCAGTATTATGCCCTAAGTAGTTGAAGATGCAGATATGGATTGCATAAGCTACTGCTTCGTCTAATTTCAAAACCGAGTGGTAAGGACTTAAATTTGGTGTTTTAAATCAGGTATTTAGCAAATTATGGCACCAATATTTTTGCCACGAGTCAACGGACTGTCCACGGAAAGTGGCCTGGTACAACTATAAATTTTTGGATAACATGCGATTGTATAAAATATTTAGAGTGTGAAAAAATATACATTATAATTCTAACCTAGAAGTAGCAGTAGAGCTCCTTGTGAAAGAGTTCGTCCAGAGTAGTACTGCCACCTTACCTATTTCTGCCGCCAAACAGTAATGTGAGTTCCAATTTTGAAGGATAAGGGTGCTAGTGAAATTACAGGCACATGCGACTTGTTAACTTAAGTCTATTATAATATACTATTGTCTTATATAACAATAAACGGTTTTATCGTCTTTAATCTGGAATTATTTACCAAAAATACGCACAATCCCATTTCAACAAATAATGGTTACGCAAAACCAATATTCATCATGAAGTGACGAACAAGTCGTGCACCTGATGATAAGCTACACGCCTGTCCAAACCGGTTGCAGTGCCACTCAGAGCTTTAAATCGCAAAGGTCTGAGAGCATTACCTCTGCACCCGTCACTCTGAGACATAAGTTGACAAGTCCCATGTACCTGTAATTTCACCAGCACCCTTACTCTTCAAACTGGAACATAGTAATGCTGAAATTACTGCTTGGCGGCAGTAATAGATAAGGTGGCAGTACTTCCCTGGACGAACTTTTTCACAAGGAGCTCTATTGGTACTGCTTCCTAGACACTCATATTGAAAAATTCCAGTAAATAAATAGATAATAAATACTGATAATGCATTACGTTACTCAGTCTCTTCATTATGTCGTAGAATTTTATATCATCAAAAAGGAGTCCTTTTCTAACGTAAAACTTAAACGACTAAATTATTATACTTGATTTGGGGACACAAAGAAATAAAACCGAAATGGGTAATTTTCAGGTTAGCTCTCTCTACCTAATTTTGGTAGCAATTGTATTATTTGTATTCGAATACATTATCTTGAAATATTACATATGTAATGCGTTGTGATAATATTATAGAATATTTAAATAATAATAATAGCCACTGAATTACCTAAACAGTAAACTCATTACTTGAACGCAATTTACTAATTATCTATTCTACTACATCGTGCTACCAAACTATGTACACTTTATCCACAGAAGAAAGTATTTATGTGGTCTGTGACTTAATCAAAACGAAGTTGGTTAAAACATAGTTTGTGTAATTAATAAGCGAAGTAACCTAATTAGTTAAAAATATAACTTAATTAACTTTGAATACTGAACAACATGATTTAAAACTTGAATTGCACTTTTACAATCTTGTGGAGTTTGCTTATTTATATTCGCTTGCTTTTAACAAAGCAGGAAAATATGATAGTGAAAGGTTTATTAAACAAGACAAGTTAAGTTCCTATCTAGCTTTCAACAGTGGCTAAAAGAATATACGAGTATAATATAAGTAAAAGGCAAGCCGTTAGCGCGATTGGTTCTGTGTAGAGTTTAGGTTGTCGGGTTTCTCTCAGAGAAAAGTTTAAGGAGACTGGTATCATGACTGTGACATCACAGTACATTTACTTAAATATTTTGTACGTCCGTAAAAATATACATAATTTAATTAAGAAAAAAATATCCATATTATTAACCTTAGAACTAAGTCCAAACTCTTTGTACCGCGATTTCGTTTAACTAAGGTAAACGATTCTTTTATGGGGACCTGTATACGTTTTTACAGTAAGATTCCTGAGTATTATATTAAGATTGTCATTTCTTAAGTTTAAAGTATTGTATATGAAAAGTCATATTACCAAATTGAGGAAAGTTAGATAAAGATGTATGGAAAGACAACATAAATCCAGATTCCACACAATTATGATTCAAAGTGTATTTCTTAGCATTTAAATGTATTTGAAAAGAGCAATCCCCAGAGTTTCTTGCTCGTTCTTCTCAGAGAGGTCAGCGCAGAGAACGAGCAGTAAAAATTACGTTTTCAAGTGTAAAAATTTTTACATATAGAATAAATGATTATTTGACTTGGACTTTGATTAAACTACGTAGAAGAAAAATATGACAAGGATATCGGTTCAATATGGATTATAACTTGTGAAAAAGATAATAAATACAATGTGCGAACACATTCTTTTTGATGCAGTCTGTTTTTTTATTCATGTAAATTTTGTATTCCTTTTGCCGTTAAGCTTTTGTTCGTTGTTGTCAATCGTTACATAAAATACGTTCCCAATACTCCGGATTACTAATTTCTTCTCTTTCCCCCTCTATTCTAAACCACCAAGCAAGCGTCTCACAAACAGAATGTTTGCGAACGGAGCTACGCCAGTGGAAAAATGCTGGTTGGTTATTTTTGCGCTGTATAGTAAACAATTTTGTATAGGTATCGTATATTTTCTGACTAATAGCATTTCAAAGTCAATATAAACGATGCCTTACTTTCTCAAACTCGTATCTTATAAAGATTGATTATTCAGGAGATGGCAAAACTTTCTATTTATATTAAATTTCTTATCAAGGGTGTTTGGATGTATTACTTTAAGAATAGGTAAAAGCCAGTGTGTGAATATGAAGGAAATATGATGTGAAATCGGCCTGCAAAATTTGTATGCACAATCCACTTTTTGCATTTCAGTTACTTTGTGCTTTAAGATACGAGTTTGAGAAAGTAAGGGGTTTATTGCTTACATTGTTACATAAAGCTCTTAAAATTAAAATATTATCAACATGACCCTGTTAGGGCGCCGCAATTAAAAAATATACACTCATTAAAATTTTAAAGATAAAAGAACATACTAATAAAATAATTTTAATGGTACAGAAACATTTTATCTCAAGAAGAGCTTAAAGGCCTAACAACAGCGTAGTGAACTAAGGCCTGAGTGGGGTCGTGACTCGTGGGTTATGGGTAGTTCAGTAAATATCGAGTTCTTAAGACCCTCATATACTGACGATGAAAAATAGTTTAATTTTCAATAGATAGAGTAAAATTTGTAGTGTAGGTGAGGGTCAGAATAGAGAATAATCAACATTTATAACTTTTTTTAAATGGTACCATCTCTTTTGAAACCCTACTTACTTATGTACATGAAGTATGAACAGTTTTAAGCTTTAACGTAATACGGACTGTCTTTTAGTATAAGATTGTACTTTTAATAGCAGTAAAAGAGATCGTCTAGGGACATATTGTTGCCATACCCTGATATCATACATAGATATCGTTGCGCCATACCTCTTTTCGCCGTCAAGCAGTAATACGAACATTACTGCGTTTCAGTTTTGAAGGGCTAAGGTGCTGGTGAAATTACAGACACACATGACTTGCCAACTTTATGTCTCTTGGGGTGACGAGTGCAGCAATGGCAGTGCCCCAGCGGTTTTTGCGATTTAAAGGCGTTTCACTTACTATCAAAAACCACTTTACTATTTATTTGTATATTAATGTCTACAAAGTAAAAGTAGGTATCTAAACAATCAAAACATGAAGGCAGAAAAACAAATATGAGATTGTGTTAAAACTTGTTGTTATTTCATAGGTTACGAAACCGACTATCAAGGTGGACAGAACGAAGAATACTATGACAGTCGTGTAGAATACGAAGAGCCAGCGAAGGCGCAACGTGTAGAGGCTCTTGAGCAAGTGGACAGTTCAGCTCCTACTTTCGATCAGGCACCTACTGTGAGCTCTGTGTCCGGATTCTCGACTGCTAATGCCGTTAATCTGAGAGGTAAGTATTTGATGTCAATAACGTAAGAATTTACGCATTTACGTACTATTTTCATGGTTAACTGCAAATTTTTGTGTTAGTTAAAATGTTGATTGAACCCAGCGTTATCAGTTGGTTACATTCCTTACTCCACTTTTGATGCTCTTGAGTAACGTGTTAATAGCATTTGTTGTTAAGGCAACTTCCGCAACATTTGAGAACGATGACAATATTTTAAACTCAACTGTAATTTATTACTGTAAATTCTAAATAAGAGACTAGCATCGAGTGACAGCACGTTACTACTGCCCGTATTTTCTTAGTTTAGCCTTGAATGTAGCTACGTGAAATAAGCTTACATGGCTTTATATAGGCAGCCATGGTAAGTGCAGGCCAACTTGACTATAACGCCCTAAATAATACCCTCAGGCCTGATTTGTTCTCGTTCTAGTCATGGTCGGTAATACAGGTAATGCACTCGTACTATATACGTGCAAGTGTGATGAAAAGGTAATTTATATATAGCTCGAGAATACTGTGGTGAATACCTTAATTTCTTCAAATTATGTTTTGCAATCTGTAAGTATAACTAAAATTATAATGTGGCAACCCTACGTGTAGGCATTGATTCGTCGAACAGGCGGTAGTTACACTAGTGATCTTATTCTACTATGCCGAATTCCAACCTCGATAATCACAATAAATCAATTACTGGTCACAGTACAGGCCTTGGTTATGTAACTAACATCCGATACACGTCGAATATTACGATATGTTTTTTCTTTCTCTTTATCATGCTATCTGTACGTGAGGTTATTTTAATAATAGTCAGTTTTACCATGATTGGTACAAAGCCAATTCGTGTTATCTCTATTTGCATACAAAACGAAAAACAACTACGATCTATTTTTTTATATATCGCACATGAAAACTAACATAATATTATATCAAAATTGCTTTAAATTATATTATATTGCCTATTTAATTTCAAAGCGACAGTGTTGCTCTGTCACGATGAAATTAAATCGTATACGAATGACATATAAACATAGCGAAATTTTGGAGATAAACTGTTAATATATTACGCAATTTTGAGATAAACTATAAATAACGCAATTTTTGAGATAATACTATAATAGTTGTCAAGTGCGACTTTCTTTCCATTTTCGATTTAAACTATCCTTTAGCACTTATATCGGGTAGCACTCACGGGATCAGGTTATTCGATTATCTAGAATACCGCCGTAACATCTGCGTTTTTCTGGTCTA